CCGGACCACCAGAAGGTGTAACAGAAGTATTGTCCTGGTCAACTGAAGCTTGACCTTCACGCGATATGTCAATTGTCCCTAAGGCAAGTTCTAGGTGATGCTTAGGATGTTTGTTTGGAGTGAAGCTGGCAGTACCCAGGACAGGTTTTACAGGGAGATTTGTTTTGGAACCAATGGCGCATCCTGCATCATAGATTTCTATGTTAGAGCCACGCTGAAGTGCTGTCTTGCATTCCTGTACTCGTTGTTTGAGTTGCTTGTCGTACATTTCCAGGTCCTGTTTGTATGTTTGTATCAGCTTGGCATTATCCTCCTCCATTTTCTGATAAAGAGAGAGTGTCTGTGTTGTAAGTAAGTCGAGGTCTTGTTTCAACTGATCCGTTTGCGTTTTCAACTTGTTTGAGACCTTTTCAAAATTGCTGGTGTTGTCTTTAAGAAGTGTATCAGTAGATGTGATGTACTTCCTAAGTTGTACCAGGTCATTTGTTTCGGTCCTGTCAATAAAGTTTTGAATGTCTTGTTTCTTCTGTGGGGTAATTTCGTTGAGTTCACAAACATCATGACCTTTGTGAATCGTCGACAAACATTTGAGGCAAACAAGTGTGTCGCACTTCTCACAGTAAAGTTCTAGTTGTCTCCCCTTGTGCTCGACACAGTTTGTGTGACCTTTCTCACGGAAAGGAATTTGACCTATGGGTGTCGCCATGTTAACGATCCAAACAATTTGCCGTTTATTAGTATACTGGTTTAATTGATATTAAATATATATTAGAGATTGTTCTGGAGAAGAAAATTCTAATCTTACACCGAGTTTTACTTCAGATGAACACATTCAGCAATCCAAACGATAGTTACCTAATAATCACTGATTAGGCACCAAGACAAGTTTTCCGTTCCAAACCTCAGAATATCAACGTCACGGAGACGCATAATTCCAGTGTTTATATGATCAGAATTGTAATACCCTGCCAGATTAATGTTCTTCTTGTTTTGATACTGATTAGGATGAATCATAGATTTTCATTCCAAGCCTCAGAATGCCGGTATTGTCATCGTCTATATCCACAGCATTAGAACCACAGCTTGGTAAAACAACTTTTCTGCTCATGTTGTTAAATCTCCTGGTTTCTGGTTGTCGATGTAGTAATTAGTTTTTAATCGAAGAAAACACCTTCGTTCACTGTCTAGGTGTCATTGTTAATACAAAGTCCAAACTGGATACACCTTCCCGGCCAGTATATTGTCGAGATGATATTACTTCCTTGTTGAGCGAGGATGCCGACAGGCGTGCAGAGAATAGGGTAGATTGTGGAGTAGGTCAATGTACATATGTAGGTCGTGTTTACAGATCGTGGTATTTACATACCACAGTTCACCTTAGTGTCTGATATAGTTATATATTAGGTAACAAGACAAACCTATGGCAAGCCAGTTTAGCATTTCCTAATGTCCACAGGCATTTTAAAACTATTTTAGAGTTAAATAAAATAGAAACATATGGAAAAACATGTCTTCAAATGTAATAGATTATATGTATTTCAGATATATTATTTAGAATAACAATATCTTGATATGAAATATCGATATCTCTAAATAAGATATATGCTTTTTAATATGAAATAAATGTGTCATTAAAATGTAACCTGAACATAAAATCTGTAATAGATATTTATTTTAATAGATAAATGATATATCCGTATGAATTAAAGATATCTCAAAATATTAATGAATTAAAGATAGCGAAGTGAATTAAAATATATGTAAATGTAAATTAACGATATCATTATAAATTGAAAATATCTTATAATGTATTAAAGTTATATAAATGAATTA